GACACCACAACACCACCACCAGTCGCAGACACCACAACACCACCACCAGTCGCAGACACCACAACACCACCACCAGTCGCAGACACCACAACACCACCACCAGTTGCAGACACCACAACACCGCCACCAGTTGCAGACACCACAACACCGCCACCAGTTGCAGACACCACAACACCGCCACCAGTTGCAGACACCACAACACCACCACCAGTTGCAGACACCACAACACCACCGGTCACAGACACTACAACACCACCACCAGTAGCAGACACCACAACACCACCAGTAGCAGACACTACAACACCAGATAGTCCAACACAAACCCCAGATAGTGAACCATCTGAAAATACCCCAACCTCTGGTAAGTCTTTTTTTTTGAAAGGAAGGACACACATATAAATAGAATATATTAATAGTTGTATACCTACCTAGCTAGCTAGATAAATTTAGATTTAGATTTTATGAGTTTTTTAAAAATATAAATATGATCATATCACAAATATATAGTTATTAGTGTTACTACTGCTGACACACCAGCCATTAATACAGTCAAGTAACTGAGCCTAATACATAAAATCAACAGATAAAAATACAAAAGCAGATATTTTTAGCAGTAATCCTGTCATTAACACTAATACAGATACTTTAACAGATACAAATAGCATTTTCTACTATAGCTTAAGCTCAACTAGCTCAACTAGGATTAATGTTGATCCAAATACCACTGGTGTATATATATTCAAAAAGAGGATCATATATATGTGGGGGATTTCTAGCAAAAACCAGGTATAAGGCCTCCAAACCAAAAATTAAGCTTCCTGCATAATATATATCTATGCCAGAAGTATTATAACTGGCGAAATTTTAGACATTGGATTGTTTACTTATTACCATAACAAGATACAGGGCTTGAAATATTCACTTTATATATCAGAAGCCAGAAGCATGTGTAACATATTTTGCAGAGATTGTCACTCAAAAAGATTTACTATACTTATACCTCAACATATATTCAAAGGAAATAATAATTATTTATGAAAATAAATTTTATTGATTTATGATTTTCTTTTCTTTTTACTAAATAGATTCTGAAACACCTATAGATATACCATCACCAAGTAATTCTTTTGTATAATTAATTATAGAATTAATATATTTATACTTATATAATTAATATATTTATACTTATATTTAATTTATATGAATTAATTAGCTTCCACTGAAACATATCCACCTGGACATGAACCATGTAAAAAATCTGATGATCCAAGATGTAAGCCTAAAACAACAGAGTAAGTCTCAGATCTGTGATTTCTATTTTTTTTACTTAAAAACATTCATTATTTTCCAACAAATTAATTAAATTAATCAATTTATTGCAAAAAAAAATAGCCCAACAGTGATAAGTACAACAGAAGAAAGTGAAGTAGTTACAGAACCACCAACACCTAAAAAACCTACAACATCCCAATCCCAAATAGGCTCAAGCCAAGAAAAATCAACCATAACACAATTCAAAACTTACACCACCACAGAAACATTATATTTCCCAGGGTACACCACTTATACATCTTCAACAGGGACAAATGGACAATTAACAACATATGCAACTTATGTTCCACCAAGTACTGTTGTGGTGGTCAAGAAAGTTACTTTAGCAACTGTAGTATTTCAAGAAACTAATACTCCTTCATCTGGACATCTTGACCTGGAACTCTCAATTTATAATTTATACAATATTGCTACATCATTGTTTGTTATTGCTGTAACAATGCTTTATTTAATTATTTCTTAATTAAATAAGAGTATAAATAATGGGGTTTTCTCTCAGCAGAAAAATAATTCATATAATTAATGATTTGTCCTTGTAGTTGTATTTATTTATAATAAATAATATTAAACAATTTAAGATTTTGAAATGTAATAATAATAAGTAATGAGGGGGTTTCTCTTTTTAAAAGTTATTTCCTGAGAAACATGATATCCTGAATCAGATTTTCAACTTTATCAATATCTACTGGCCTTTTTACAACATCTTTTGATATTTGAATTTGATATGTCCTGGAATCATGAAATTTAGTTAAGTGCTTTTATAATTACTAAATACAAATGATTACAGAATGTATCTTTATTCAATTTCTTAATTCTATCAAGGACTAAGTGTATTTAGTGTGTACACCCGTAATATTAATATTACAATGAAACTTGCTTCAATGAATTATAAATAGATTCTTGTCAACAAATTTTTAAAACTCTTGCCCTATAAAAAATTTAGTCAGAAAATGTATGGTTTTTCCATACATTTTCCGCATATTCTGTATGGAATATACAATTTAATTTAGGAAATTTATATAATAATAGATTAGGAAGTTTAGATAATACATCTGTACTAGGGTGAAGAAGATGAAGAAGAGGATGAAATACTATAGATAATAAAGATATTAAATTGGAAGGGTCTGAAGAATTAATTTTGAAAGGTGATTTAAATCTTGATCAATTTTTAAAAAATGTGTTGTATGAATTTCAACAAATTAATCAAGACAATGTTGAAGATTGATAATGATATTCATGACCACAAATTAATATGCAATTATCATCATCATAGCAACTGCTATTTCACAATTTTCGTAATCAAAGCAAGAATCAAAACTGGGCAGATAATTGGTAACAGAGAACCAATACTTTTCTTTTTAGACTTATTTCTGTAGAGGACTTTTTTGAAGAAGGGATATACTTTGATATAGCATATCAAAAAAGCCTTTTAACGAAGGATCTCTTTCTTTGATCATTAAAAAAATCAGAAAATTGTATACCATCTAAAAATTAATCATTTAATTATTAAAAATTTATTTGATTAACATTAAATTAATATTTAATCACCTTTAATATGTTGACTTGATGGTCTAGTAGTATTTGCTTCCATTTCAATTGGTTTTCACATTTTATATGTTACATCTTCAGGTTTTCTTTTATATCTATTTATATCTATCATATACTATATAAGAATTATAGCATTTAGAACATATTCTTTCACCTATATTTAATTCATAACCTACTAGTTCAGCTTTTTCTTATCCTTGTTCTGAAATATTTCGCCACTTAGAGTCATCTTTTTCTATTTTGTAAATGGACAAAAACCAACAGGCATTTTAGTAATGACTTGCAATCAAGAAATAAAAATTGTTACTTCAAATGGATCAGGGTGGATCAGGGAATGTTGAAATGAAAAGAGTATACTTGTAAAATTTGAAAGGTTGTTATTTAGTGTACTTGCACCCACCTCATAAGTGTAATCCCAGTCAGTAGAGATTCTGTACAACTTTCAATTCCATACACTATTTTTTTTTGTTCCATACATTTTTTATTTTTATTTTTTAATTTTGTATGGAACGGAATTTTATGAACTTTGAAAAGTTGATTGGTGGAGGCCAGTCTGTAAGATCTTCAATTGTTATTTTTTAATTTTGCACAGAACAGAATTTGTGAATTCTGAAAAGTTGATTGGTGGGCCAGTCTGTACGATCTTCATTTCCATATTTTTGTTTCATACAGAGCATTTTTTACTACACAGGACATTTCCTGCTGATCTATAGGAGGTTGTAAAACATAGTAAATTTTGGGTGATCTGCATCATAGTAAAATTCGAATTTACATAGTAAAATTTTATAATCAAATGTCTTCACACCCTCATTTGATACCCTTGCTGTGTAGCAACCACCACCAAATTTGAGATATAATTTCTTTATCAT